ATGTATTTTTTTTACGTATAGAGGATAAGTCGCTACTTGCCTCTTATAATAATTAATCAAATTTTATGCAGCAATTATGAACAAGGTATGAAAAATTATATTATCATAGGGCTATATGACAAAACATTATCTTAGCTACCTTTAACGCTTATTGAATTTCCCCCTGGTACAGGCATCCTGTGGTAGCACTCACCAAGATTCACGTGAAACGCGTCACGTGGTTTCCTACTGGAATTGGCTCTCCGCCGCAAACTCTCCGGTGTTAAAAGCAATTAAGCTCTAATGGATTAATAATTGTCATAATATAACAAACCTATTTTAAGTGAATATAGTACATGATAATTATGTTACTTACAATAAATTGAAATTCACATCATCAAGATGTAGTAGAATTAACATGAGAATAAAAGTCACGAATTCGATTTCTGTAAATGGTAATTATAAGTTTATATAATATTTTTACTTAACACAATACTATAAACTATAAGCTACATTGTCATGCCTCGGATAGCTGCAAGTTTATCAAGTGTTTGAACTTACATTACATTACACTTAAACAGCAACATTCTTAAAAAGAAGCGCCATTTGTCGGTAAGTAAGTTGGTAAGTTGGCTCTCAAATACAGGAAGGACATGATCTGTTGTGCCAAGGTACATTTAAAACCATCCAAGGATGATTTTTTATTAGTAATGGGCTTACTCTTGACCTTCATCTTAGCTCGAAGGCATAAGGTCTACGTTGTAGCGAGTTTGCCCAGGAGAAGCCTGTTAACATGCACCTTAAAGAGTTTCAGATCATACGCACTCGGAAAAACAAACGCAGGCAGGGCATTCCACTTCTTGGCTGTATTATAAAAGATGATGAATTGCGCTTTGTGCGAAAGGTCGGAATGTCAACCAAGAAAGGATGGTATCGTGCAGTACGTCTGGTGTTACGAATAATTATGTAACAGGAATTAAAATATTGCCACAAACTTTCACAGATTTTATAATATTGATAAAATAAAGATAGTAAGAAAAGGTCTCGCGTCTTTTTCGTAAGTGATCCTACAAGGGTTTTATTTTTACGTAGGCTTCACGGAATCCTAAACACACTGAAATAGTATTCCATGCCATCAAAAATATAAAGGTCATATAAATCTCCAAACGTAATTAATAGTTCCTGATAACAGAAAAGGAAAATAAGCACTACGGCATGATTTCAAATTCATCCACTTTAAGGATTAATAAGGTGCTATCCCCATTTTTTGTAAGTTTGTATGGAAGTTTTTGTACCCATGTATAAATAAAGTTAGTAATGCTTAATAAATATTTTTTTTAATTTATTGTTAATGAAATGAAAATATGTTAATAGAGTTTGTGTGTTTGTTTGGATAGAAAATTCTCGTTTTTTAATTTAGCAACATAGAAGTTGAACTTGGAGTTTCATTTTAAGTTTCATGTCTATTGCCGGTTAGACTCCCATCGGTCTTAAAGCTTTTTACAAAATTAAATGTAATTTTTACTTTATATAGAGCACTTTGACGTTACATATTGAGCACAATCGCAATATATTTGCGAGTCATGACCCTCGTGTTCAACTTTATTGATGCTTATAGCCGTCTCGTGAGAGAAGACTGATATCCTAATAGCAAAGAATCTTTTGCCGAATGAGAATGTTTTTTTTTCGATCTTGTACGCTGAGTAAAATCGCGCCTATTACGTTAATATCACGAACAGAATGAAACGTAGAAATAAAATCCATTATTTGTACTCTATTTAACCTTACTAGATATATTAAAGTGGTTTTAGTAAAAATAATTATTTGGACCAAACTTTTAGACCGTTTCAACGAACAACTTTAAAAATTCATGTGGTCATTCAAAACATGTGGACAAATGTTATTATTTATGTAGCTCTTAATTTGCATTAGCTATCACGTTTGTAGTTTGACATACTTCTCTTTAAAGTGACATATTACTAAAAAGGCCACGTCTACAAGTTACATAGATTTAAGTTATTAATGTAATAAATTTTGGAATTATCTGAACCACGTTCGTCGCACATTGTCTGGATCCTAAAACTTGTGCAATAAAATGTCCGTTAATCTCGAATAGTCTATATTGCAAACTCATAATAAACTTTGCCTTCTTGATTTTACAAAAGAATACCAATCGTAGAATATCTTTTCTATTGACCTGCAGTTGAGTAATTCTTCAGAACAATTCTAGCGCTCAGCGTCGCTTATTACCTGAATGATAGTCCGTGCCATTGAAATACTATTTTTTGGAGAAAGGTGCTCTCAATTGAGTTCTAAATTTTAACTCTACGCATTTAATTCGGAAAGTCTCAATGTGATTTCAGTTTTACACTTCTTTTTATACACAAAAATAAAAAAGAATGTAAGACGAATTTTTAGTTTTATTTCATAAATAACATCATTATTTTCATAGTGGTCATTCTAAAAACGATGAAGTACTTTTTCTTGCCTGTAATCGGAATAATTTTTAGGTAATATAAGTCATATTACAAGTAAATAGTTGCTCTTGTCTTCAAGAAGCCACTGCGAGAAATGCTCTATTTGGCAACAATACTTTCTACAATATTGCTACCACTAGGTTTGTATTGTGGTTTTTCTATTATATTATATTGTAAATATTAATTGAAACAATTTAATATCCTACAGAATTGAAACGATATTTATGAAATAAACAAAGCAAAAAGATTTCATAGTTGTACCAGTTTTGAATAGCATGAGTTGTACTTTACATATTGTGTAGCTGTCATATTTATATTGATTATAATATTTAATTCCACGATTTTATTTTACTCTGGTTTTTATTTAACACTTTATTACATTAGATAGTCAGTTTTGTATTTTTTTTATTAAAACTTTAGCATCTACAGTATATTCGAATTTCTCTGTTTCACTTCGGTTTACTTTAATTTTCTCTTGTTCATCTTTTTGTTTTACTAGCGACTCACCCTTGCTTCGTCCCTAGAAAAAAATAAATCTATCCCACGGGAACCGTTCATTTTTCCGCGATGATATATACCCTATAGCTTTCTCAATAAACGGGCTATCTAATACAAAAAGAATTTCTCAAATCGAATTAGAAGTTCCTGAGATTAGCGCGTTCAAACAAACAAACAAACTCTGCCTCTTTATTATATTAGTAGATGTTATTGTATCATTTCTCTATTATGAATGCAATAAAGTCTAAGATATCAAAATAACCTATACATATAATAAAATTGTAACTAAACCGAATCTGTACATTAAATATGTTTTGGAAAATTTTATTGAAATAAACATTATTATCGATACAGAGGCCGAATATAATATATAAGTTATATAGTCTTTATAATTTTTGTCTGTCTGTCAGTCTGTTACCGCATCACAGAAAAACCACTGGAGGGATTTTGAGAAAATTTGGTATGGTGATATCTGGTTATCCGGGTCAACATATAGGATACTTTTTCCCCGGGGAAAATGTCTCATTTCTGAGAAAAAATACAAAAACTGCAATGTTAGCGTATACTAATACGTAATACCTAAAAATTTGGTTTTTGGTCATCTGAACGCGGGCGGAGCCGCGGGCAATGCTAGTTATTATATAAAACAAAACTTTGTAAATTTAACTAAGTATATGAGTAGATAAGCGCAACAAAATGTATTTTTAAAATTCCATATTTTACTTAAAAAAAATTTTTATATGTTGAAATTTCGTCTAATTTCATTATTAAAATATAACTAGTTTTTTTTAGTTATTAAAGTCCACGCTGGTCAAATGGGTGGATGGTTAAGACAAGTGGTAATCACGTTGGATATGATTCGCACATGAAAATATCAGAGGTGCGAGACCCGGTGTCCCAAACGAGTGCGCTACACTGGGCTATTATGTCTATGTTCTTGCCAAATGTTATCGAAATTTGCTTAGCGGTTTATGCGTGAAAAGGTAAGAGACCGAGTTAATTTCAGTTATAATATTAGTATGGATAATGACAGTGTTTAAGAACTAAGTGATCTAAATTTTCAACCGACTTCAAAAAGGAGGAGGTTCTCAATTCGACTGTATTTTTATTATTTTTTTTTATGTTTGTTACCTCAGAACTTCGTCATTTATTAACCGATTTGGACAATTTTTGTTTTGTTTGAAAGGGTATACTTCCAGATTGGTCCCATTTAAATTTCAAAAAAAATACCACCCCTAAGGGAGGAAAAATAGCTAATAGTGAATTTAACCTACTTCTAATTGTCATATTGACTTGAAACTTTGCAAGTGTTTCTATTTCCGTTGATAGTACAGTGATTCGGTATTGTTGACCTGATCTGATGGTAAGGCCAGAAGGTGGATAGGTGGAACTCTTCAAAGGCTAATAGTAGATGCTTTGAGTTTGGGCTTATTTTGTTTGATTTGACAAACCGAATACATCAGAATATATAATTGTAGAGCTTGATTTTTAGTGTTACTAATAATATAAACGAATTTTAGTTTGTCAGTCTTTATATAAAAAAATTGGATAAATATGCTTTATAACAATGCTTTAAAATATGAATATCTAATAGGTAAATATGACAACGTATGAACTTAAATTACAGTTTCAAATATTATATATATAATATATATTAATTTGTTCAGCTCTTTAAATGAGAATAAAAAAAAAAAAAATAATTTGTGACGTAAGCTTTGTTTTAATTTGAATTAGTCTACTAAGAGTTATTTTGTATGATAAATCATTAATTATGTTTGTATGAAGGATAACTCGACTGAACTGATATACAGACAAACAGAATACAGACAAATAAAAAAAATAACAAAAAAAACCGACTTCAAAGAAATTTAACAGAAAGAAACAAAAAAAGAAACAAAAAAGCTGGAGGATTTAAGTCTTGCAGAATTTGCCGTCCGTTTCGAAACCATTTCTAATTCAATATGGTCAGAAGAAAATGGTGATGCGGAACTGAGAGACGAAGAAATTACTCCAGTGAGTTTTATCAGATTGCGGGACAATACAAGAATGCGTGTAAGAAATAGAGCGGCTGTATTACGTACGCGCTATTATACAATTAATAGTGATAAAGAAGCGTATTATTACAGTTTAATAGTATGCCACATTCCATTCCGTAATGAACCTTCATTACGGAATGGAATGTGGCAAACTATTACTTACTTACTTATTACTTTGTTACTTGAGTTACTGTTCCAGAACGACACCGCTGAAGACTGTTTTATAAGACGTCAAAGAGATCTTCGCCCGTTGCAGGGTAATGTAAACGCAGAACAATTTAGTCATGCTGAACAAATTATTCAACAGGCTATTGCCCAAGCTACCGCCCTTAATGCTACGCATGAAATCGATGTCAGCAATGCTCCCATGTTATGTGTTGGTGAACAGATGGTAAATGACGATGATAACTTTTGTGAGGACGTGGGAGAACGAGCCGTCATGTCAGATGAACTATTTCTGGAAAGCATTCGAGTATTAAATATCCAGCAGAAGAATTGATTTCAGAAGGTTTCAACAGCAATCGAAAACGATTTGCATGGCCAAGAGAGTCAGCTCTTACGTTTTATCACAGGTGGTGCAGGAAGTGGTAAATCATTTCTCTTGAAATTAATCGTGGAGCATATTAAGGATTGTTATACTTACAGTAGATATACCACTGAAGACCAACTATGTGGAAATTTGGTCATTAACCGCGATTTCTGCTCGTCAGATTTTTGGCAAAACGCTACATAGTATTTTAGTTAGTTAGTTAAATAAAAGTCGTTGCAATCAAAGTTGTATTTCAAATTAATAATAATAACTTTGTACATATACACAGCACTTTACTACACAACCATATAGCACTTCACTTCACTATTACCACATATAAGCAATACGGAACGCAAGACAGTTTCTACTAGCTTTCACTGTGCGACCGACCAAGCGTAACTCAGCCGAGCCCGGTCGAGTGTCACAACGTAGACTCTGTTGAGCCCAAAAAGATGGCGCTCGCGTTCCCATTAGTTGTGATTATGACTCGTCTTCGACATATACATAATGAGTTACAGTCAAATACAGATTTTGATTTGTTATTATAATTAGATGTATAGATAAACTATTTTATATATCGTCGAGTCATATATTATGTGTGTCCGTGATTATCGAGAGACAGATTTCGCAGCCTCGTCATTTCCGTCAACGATCTTTCATCATGTGGACGGTTTAACAATTTGTTGGCTTCCAAATCTGATAAAACTATACCTTCCAAACTTCTGACTCGACTTAGCGAAACGTATATTTGCCCCTTTGCAAAAAATTTTTTACCAAGGTCAATCACAGCTCTTTCGAGGGTGGTACCTTGTAGTTTGTGGACTGTGACCGCCCAGCTTAATATTAGGGGCAACATACGACGCTCCACATCGCCGTAACCTCTTATTGCCTGAAACGTAGTACTTAATGGAGGTATGGGTATGCAACCATCACTATCTTTTAGCCTAATACCAATACTTTCATCGTCAAATTTTACGTACACAGCTTCCGGTAGCTCCCCATCCTCTAGTTGATCTCTCCTTAGGGCCGGCCATTTGATTTTTTTTATTATGCCCATAGCTCCATTCACTAGCCCTTCAGAAACGGCAATGTTTTGTCTCAACATCACTCGGGATTCGACGCCAATTTTTATCGATGACAGAAAACCACCACAGTTATTGACATCTGTGGGAATTACGTTCTCTGGTGGTTTTCTACCATACGTCGCTATTTCGCGAGACTCATCTACTGCGTCGATTTGATAAGTTCGGTGTAACTTTGCATTTTCCAGGCTCATTTTGTCGTTGTAATCGTCGACTTGCCTGACCGTAGGAAAAATACGAACGGCGACTCCATCCGCAAATTCACCATTTAAAGGTACGTGTCGCTGCTCACATAGTAATTCAAATTGAGCCGTCGTCAGTTCACCTACCCGTAAGTTGTTCAATAAATCAATGAATTCGGTATCATTGCGCTGTCGCATGTTTACAGTCAATTCACAAAAGGAAAACTGATGCCACAAATTGACCTCCGCTGAGAACCACGACGGCTGCAAAAAACACCAATGCCCTTTTACCGGGGGAAGCTGAAATATATCACCAAAGACCAAAATGTTGACTCCGCCGAATAATTTGTCATTGTTTTTGTATTCCTGAAGTCTTAGGTGAATTATTCTTAGGTTCTCATAGGACACCATAGAAATTTCGTCTATTATTAGCCAATTTATATAGCGCCATTTACGCCGTTCATTCTCGAGTCTTTGCCCTGTTATTTTTTTGTATGTCATAGTATTTCTTTTTTCAATCGGAAGCAAGAAAATACTATGTAGCGTTTTGCCAAAAATCTGACGAGCAGCAACCCCGGTTAGTGACCCAACTTCCACAAAGTTGGGCTTCAGTAGTATATCTACTGTTGGTGCGTAACAACGCTTAATATGCTCCACGATTAATTTCAAGAGAAATAATTAACCACTTCCTGCACCACCTGTGATAAAAAGTAAGAGCTGACTCTCTTGGCCATGCAAATCGTTTTCGATTGCTGTTGAAACCTTCTGAAATAAATTCTTCTGCTGGATATTTAATACTCGAATGCTTTCCAGAAATAGTTCATCTGACATGACGGCTCGTTCTCCCACGTCTTCACAAAAGTTATCATCGTCATTTACCATCTGTTCACCAACACATAACATGGGAACATTGCTGACATCTATTTCACGCGCAGCATTAAGGGCAGTAGCTTGGGCAATAGCCTGTTGAATAATTTGTTCAGCATGACTAAATTGTTCTGTGTTTACATTACCCTGCAACGGGCGAAGATCTCTTTGACGTCTTATAAAACAGTCTTCAGCGGTTTCGTTCTGGAACAGTAACTCACCTTCATTACGGAATGGAATGTGGCATACTATTAAACTATAATAATACGCTTCTTTGTCACTATTAATTGTATAATAGCGCGTACGTAATACAGCCGGTCTATTTCTTACACGCATTCTTGTATTGTCCCGCAATCTGATAAAACTCACTGGAGTAGTTTCTTCGTCTCTCAGTTCCGCATCACCATTTTCCTCTAACCATATTGTATTAGAAATGGTTTCGAAACGGACGGCAAATTCTGCAAGACTTAAATCCTCCAGCTCATTTGGGCGCAATACATAACGATCAAAAATGTTATTGTAAATACTGGTTTCATCACTATCAAATCTTAAAAGTCTGAATCGTTCCTCCGGCCTGCAGCTATTAACAAAAACAGTCTTTCGCGACGACATCTCCAACGGCAAATGGCATAACCTGTATGCGCATTCTGGTGCGCTCACTAAGCGTTGATTTAAAATAGTCATCGATACTGAAAATAATTGTTTCCAAACATCACCACCTTGTCTCTTAGCCTTCGAAATAGCGTCTCGTATCACATCACCTGTATCATGTGGTTCGCATTTACTTGCATATTTTGCGACGTAGTAGGCCACAGCGGTGAAACTACCACACGGCTGCACGTCAAGATTTCCTTTCCATATACCTAAAAGAACTGCATTGTAATTATTTACCATGCTTTCATTTGAGGTTCTTTTCAATAAATAAAATCTTCCATGGTTAGCAAGTGCTTCATCTGGACCTAGACAAACGGTATTATCACTTGCTGGCTTTGGAAAACCAAAGCGACAACCATCGTCTTGGCGATTTTTTTTGCAGGTTGGAGTGTGTTTATAGATCTGCCAATCCTCGACTAATTTGCGCAACACAGGGTCGTTAGGATTTAAAGAACATGAAACCACCTTTTCAATTACGGCTATACCTTGTGGAGTAGAGAATTCCGGAACATTACTACACCAAACTAACATGTGCAGATGTGGACTACCGCGGTTTTGAAACTCCACTCGGTACCAAAAGTCTTCAATAGGACCACCCAAACAATCTTGACTGCGCTTTAAGAATCGCATGAGAGCGTTAACGCGCAGTGTGAACTGTCGTGCTATCACTACCGGATGTCTTTGCACTAGATCTAAGCGTTCCGGAAATGTCAGGCGTTCAGCGTCATCGATGTCACGTCCATCGGCGATCAGCAAGGCTTTTATCATATCTGGCCAATTTAAATCATTGCAAGAAAATGATAAAAACCATGTTGGAGGTCCTAAAGTTCTTACCATTGCAATCAATTCAGAGCAACATTTTTGCCAATATGACGCTGATCCTCTAATATTTCGCATAGTGATATGCATGTTATCCACAAGCCCCTGAGGTGTTTGCTCTCCATGACCTTGTCGCATCCTACATGACACAGATACACTTGATTTCGCACGAAAATATTCAACAATGGATAGAGCATAAAATAAATAATCGTTTCTGTTAAACCTCTTGTCAACACTCATTACCCGGTTTTGGAAGTAATCAAGGGGGGTACATGGATTTTCTCTTTCCTCACCAAAGCCATTCTTGCCATCTGGAAAAAGAAAATACGAACACAATTCCTCCATACGGCGTTCACGTTCTAAATTCAAGGGTGGTGCAGTTTTCCTTGTGATGGCGGCCAATCTCATTGTATCATCTGTGAAAGAGCTATTCATTCTCACAACACTTTCTAAATTAGGTACGTTATCGTCTATATTTCGGAGCATACTTGTAGATTCGATATAAATGGTGTCCAATGGATTATGGACTGGTATTGGTAACTGTATATTTGATTCCTGGGTTGATGCTATTTGAATTGTTCCTTGAGAAGATTCGATAATTTGTCTAGTTGGCTGGAGATTACTCATTTGTATTGTTGGTTGCAGAGAATTGTCTTTTGGCGTAAATGTTGGACTCTCGGTCCTTGCTATTGTCGATTGTTCCAATATGGGTCTAAGCAATTGTATTTGGTTGTCTGGAGCTATAATTAATGATGTTAAAGAGAACACATTGAGATTATTCAGAAGGCTGTATGCTGTATTATGTGATAATTTATTTGGCGATACAAATAAATTGCGACGTAATACGGCATGTAAATCGTCCAGATTACTAAAGCGCATGCAACAAGCGGTACCATTCATGGGAGCTGAAGCACCTTTGGGACCACGCGCATGGGAATCAAACAAAAAGTAAGTTTGATTTTGAAGTATAGTTCTGCAATGTACTGCTACCGAGATGGCGTTTGCTGTAAGTATTCCATTTGAATGTTCTCTGAAAAAACTTATTAATGCATTTTTTAAGTTAGGAAAGCCCTCAGAAAAGTTATTATTGTCTATGTGACCATTATAATTGGTTTCCTCGAGTGCTGTGATTACTAAATTTTGTCTATTATAGATAAGTCTTGGACAAAGATCTGTCACAGCAAGGTATTCAGGGTTTACTTCACCAGACGCAGGATTATCTTTAGAAGCGATGCAATCCTTGTAGTACTTATCGCCAATAATTACTATGTAATCGATATCACTTTTGGCCCACTTGTTTAAATCTATAACACTAAATGCCGCACAAGCAACAGCTGCTATCCCAGTGCATTGTTTACCCCGAGATAAATTAAATCGTAAGTCACCTTGGTGAAATGATCCGCGTAATATTGCCTTATTGTCATTCAAAGTGACGTAATGGTTCGAGAAAGTTTCTGAAGCAACACCATCCTGTTCTGGAATAGAATTTGCAGCTATTTGGACTAAAGGAGTAATGTTCGACATAGTTTCAAAATGCACTTGAACGTCTCTGTATTGGAAATTAACCAAGTTAATGCCCGATTAATTATTTGCATATCCACGACGAATTCTTTAGAGCATGAAAGGTTTTCAAGGTTTTCCACAACCAAAACTAAACCAGCTTGGTGTGGTGTCAATGGTAACTGATCAGCTATTTCCACGACATCTTTTGCAACTAAAATGACCTGCCCTTTACACCAATTTTGACTGAAACGGTTATTAAGTTTAACAATCTTTAAAAACGGTACGATCCGACATATAAACCGTTCTGCAACGCTCGTCAAATTGGCTAATTCAGGCGGTATTTCTGCAGGCGTCATTTTATTCCAATATGCAGTTGGTGGAATTTTTCTTTTCTTAATGTTATTATTACAGCGAGAGCACGTAATTATTGTATGTAGAGCCATCAATTCTTCAGGTAACAGTGTACTATACATATCTGCTAGTAAATTGAAACGTTGTTGTGGATAAATAGTTCTTTTACAGATAGCGCATGATACATCAGCAAAAATATTAATAGCTGTTTCAAAAGATTGTACATTTGTGATATCCCTACAAACATGACTGGCTTGTCGCATTGCATTAAGTCGAACTAAGCGAGCTTCAGGTGTTTCGTTCGATAAACGATCGTGGATCAAGCCGAGGCGGTGGGCACGTTGCTCCTGCGTTTCACTGGATAGACGATCGTGGATCAAGCCGAGGCGGTGGGCACGTTGCTCCTCCGTTTCACTGGATAAACGATCGTGGATCAAGCCGAGGCGGTGGGCACGTTGCTCCTCCGTTTCACTGGATAAACGATCGTGGATCAAGCCGAGGCGGTGGGCACGTTGCTCCTCCGTTTCACTGGATAAACGATCGTGGATCAAGCCGAGGCGGTGAGCACGTTGCACCTCCGTTTCACTGGATAAGCGATCGTGGATCAAGCCTAGGCGGTGGGCACGTTGCTCCTCCGTTTCACTGGATAAGCGATCGTGGATCAAGCCGAGGCGGTGGGCACGTTGCTCCTCCGTTTCACTGGATAAGCGATCGTGGATCAAGCCGAGGCAGTGGGCACGTTGCTCCTCCGTTTCACTGGATAAGCGATCGTGGATCAAGCCGAGGCGGTGGGCACGTTGCTCCTCCGTTTCACTTGATAGACGATTGTGGATCAAACCGAGGCAGTGGGCACGTTGCTCCTCCGTTTCATTGGATAGACGATCATGAATCAAGCCTAGACGGTGGCCACGCTTTTTAATATACTCCCCGCTTAAAACATTTTTCATATAAGCCCGCATTTGCGAAAGCCTCTTTTTGGACTGTTCATTGGTTTCCTTTGAAATGGCTTTAGAGGTAGATTTCCTACTTTGAGATAGCCGTTTCTCCTTTTCTTCGTTTGTCTCATTAAAACGACGCTGTCTCATATGAGCAGCGCGTTTAGTAGGTCTACCCATATTCAGACAATAAAATCAGTTATAGAACTCAATATCACTAAAAATCGGCAAATAAAAAAAAACATTAACAAAAAAAAACTAACTCCAAAACTGACTCCAAAAATAATAATAATTGTACATTATATTGTCCTAATAATTTTATTATCTATTAAGCAGTCTACAAATATATTTTTAAATTTATGTTTAGGTGAGCTATTAATAAATATTTTGTTATTTGTTTGTTAGTCATACGTGTATGTTTAGTTAAATGTGAAGTTTAAGTGGGTACCAACCTACGTAATAAACGCATAGATCGTACAAAATACATTGAGTAGAAAAATAGGTTGATTTTATAAGTCATAGAACCAAAAAAAGACGCATTTATTTTTTACTTTTTAGTGCATTTTTTGTTTCCTTCAGAATAAATTTCTTTGAAGTCGGTTTTTTTTTTGTTAAATATTTTTTTTTGTAATTATTCAATATATAATTGATAAACACCTTTGACTTAAATGGCATGAGGATTAAATTTGTTTTGAGTATTTTGGCATCAGGAGCAGATTTTTTGTTTGAAATTCATATTATAAACCTTGAGATATATTCTTTAAAAATGAAACATCCAAATCGGTTCTCAATGAATATTTATAAACAACTGTTAAGATAAAAACTTTTTAACAAAAAAATAAAAACCGACTTCAAACAAAAGTACTAAAAAGTAAAAAATAACTGATTGGTAGTTTTCATTTACTATACATACCTAATCAAATATTTTCGAAGTCGGTGTGCTTTGCTTTGTATGGGCTGGCACCGATTTCAAAAATATTTCCCTTTTTAGTGTAGACAGTAGTAGCAAAGTAAGCATTCTAACGTGTTAAGCTTGTCAAATCGAACAAAATGCGCCCAAACTCAAAGTATCTACTATTAGCCGTTGAAGAGTTCCACCTATCCACCTTCTGGCCTTACCATCAGATCAGGTCAACAATACCGAACCATTGTACTATCAACGGAAATAGAAACACTTGCAAAGTTTCAAGTCAATATGACAATTAGAAGTAGGTTATATTCATCATTAGCTATTTTTCCACCTTTAGGAGTGGTATTTTTTTTTTAATTTTAATGGGACCAATCTGGAAGTATACACTTTTAAACAACACAAAAATTGTCCAAATTGGTTAATAAATGACGGAGTTCTGAGGTAACAAATATAAAAAAAAATACAGTCGAATTGAGAACCTCCTCTTTTTGAAGTCGGTTGAAAATATAGAGAACTTGGTCATTCTAGTTAATTTTAATTTATTGATTTTAAAACTAATTAGGCATAATACTTTATTATCATTGTTTTTTAGTAAATGTTGAATATAATAGTTATTAACACTCAACTAAAGAAAAATTGCGACCACCAATATCATCAACAGTATTAAAACCACCTCATTTGCATATAAATTAAAAAATATACTTACAAAATGTATAAATGATTATAAAATTACATGGTTTTTTATGTTGCTACGAAATTTTAGTCAGTTTGTTTGACCGTTGCCTAGGATGATAAAAAGATAAAAGAAACTTTAAAAGGTATGTTAATCTATAATATGTTCTTTTGCTTCATATAAATTAAAACTTATTGTTGCTAAAACTTGTATTAAGTGTACAAATGTTGCATGTATGAATGTGTTGGACTGACACTAAGTCCTGGTTCGAAAAAAAATTGATTTAATAATAGTTATAATAGAAACCACGTCACACACTATGAGTATTATAAAATAATTTTTTAGAAGATTTATACATTGCAGGCTAAAGTTTTTATTTTATTGAATCTTTATTAACACCAGAATAAAGTTTCTAATCTTTAAAAGTTAGTAATCCATGACAAATAAAGTTATATCTAGAATAACTATAAACTAAGAAAATGAAAATAAAGAATCTGAAGCGAATAAAATAAAAATCCAGTGAATGTTGAGTCGGATATCGGCGATACCATAAAATTTATATTATTCCATGACCGACGCAGTGTAATGCACTGAACTGCATTATTTTTCATTCAATATCCACACTACGGCTTTACATATTCTAGTATATTAAAATATTTCACATGCGAATTCTTTATTGCGATATGTTTGTTGAAGGAAATGAAAGTTAAGGACATAGGTACTGCCCAAGAACATTGAAAGAGAAGAAACAATTTTGTTTCTCCTTATGTGAGTGAAGACGTGAGTAGAATAAAAGTTCGGACTTGAATATTGGAGTAGAACAACAACAAACTTCAAATATCATTTAATATAGTTGTAATATTATTTCTCATTATTTCTTAACGTTTAGTATAGATTTCTCAGAGATGAGATATTTTCCTGCATTAAAAAGTATTCTATGTATTGACCGAATAACCACCTATCATCATACCAAATTTCATCAAAATCGGTCCAGTGGTTTTATCGTAATGTGTTGCCAGACAGACAGACAAAAAATCTAAAAATTATAGATTCGGCCTCTGTGTCGATATTAGCGATTATTTCAATATAATTTTCCAAAAAATATTTAATGTACAGTTTAGATTCAGTTAGAATTATATTATATGTATAGAAGTTCAACGGAACCATAATACTTTCTTAGATTTACGCGAATATTTGACATTTTTAATAAAACTAACTTTTCGGATTTTTTCCGAATCCCGAAATCCGAAAAGATAGTTTTATTTAAAAATTAACGGAAAAAATTTAAAAATCCTCATACCTCTTTTTAAATAAAACTACGGGAGAGACTCTCCCGTGACCATGGATGCTGTAAATCATTCGAAACGTCGGGAAACAAAAATGCAAATAAATCCGCGACAAAATCCGAAAAGATAGTTTTATTTAAAATGTCAAATATTCGCGTCAATCTAAGAAAGTATTATCCTCATACCTCCTTAGTCCTGCTTTTATAAGCAATATACACTAACTAAATAGACTTTTTTATCTGCTTAAATTAGTTTTGCGATTTACTAGTAAGAAATACGATCGCCGACCGCCATACTTATACAAACTCCAACTTCCTTTATAATAGTAAAGCTATAATAGTTATATAATAAATCTTAATAATTTATTCTTGATGAATGAAACCTAGTAATTAATATTTGCTATATTATAGGGTTCAACGTGTTTGTAACAAATTCGAGTAATATTTAAAATTAAAAAGCTTTATGATCTCACCTGTCCCGTGCACAATAATTACAGAGGCATCATTAAAGAAAAACTTATTTAAAAAAAATTACATCATAAAATATTTTTATATTTTTTTTATTAAAGTTTATTCATTTTATTTAATTAATATAACTTAAAGCTTTTTGAAATTGATTATATAAAATTCATATTTTTGTCTGAAATATTTCATTATAAGCATATTGATCTAAGAAATTAATAATAATACAGTTTGACGAAAGTTTCAATATGCTATTTTACTTAATATGTTTTCAAATTTTGTTTTTAAATAGTGTTTTATGACAGTTAAAATAAAGTGCACTTAATATTATACCTCACGGAGCACATTCACATACGAAGCAAAATAAAAATATATACCTACCAGCGACTCACCCTCGCTTCGCTCGGGTTCATCCCTAGCTTGATTCTCCATACAAACTTTCATCCCAATTTTCACCCCCTTAAGGGATAATTTCCGGGATAAAAAGTATCTTATGTCCTTCCCAGGGTCTCAAACTATCTTCTTACTAAATTTTCCAGACATTTCCCCCTGTTATGTCACAAACTCATAAACTTTACCTCTTTATAATATTAGTATAGACTAATAATAATGAAAAAGCAAACAGAATTTCTTTACTTCACAGATACACAATAATTATTCATCTTTCGTATTCTGACGTTAATATCATTTCGCTATATTTACCACATTAAATCGTATTTTCGTTACACTTTCCTTTAGTGATGTTCCTACATGAAAAATAGGCACGAGATGACAAGATAAAATCTTTTTTACTAAACCATATTAGATTACCAAACTTAGTTACTCTTACAGAAGTTTAGAAAGCCAAGTCACTGAACAAGATATAACTAAGATTAACTTTTCAAGTAAAATCAATCTCAATGTCAAAAGAAGTGAAGCAAAAATTAGGTTAAGAAATCTGAAACACGTCAAAGCCTTCAAAGTAAGCTTCTTTTAGAATAATTTAAAATATCTTTTTAAATATATCTTACAACTTTATAAAAATATAAGATCGATGCAAACTGATAGTGTTTCTATTACTTACATATTGCAAAGTCAAATGACTTATGGCATAAAACTGTCAGCTGTAAAAGACGCTAAGGCTGGTATGAATGCAAAGATGGAGTTCGTGAATAAGAGATATTGCAATTATACCGTCTTTGCCAGAGTTCGCCGAAGTTAACCTTTGAGAATTTAAATTGAGCCCTAAATTATATTGTCGCATAAATAAATCATACTATATATTTAAACTAAACTATCTTTTGGCTATATGATAATACTTTGAAAATGACCAAAAATTGAAGTTCGATTTCTGAAATAAGATATATATTAATCGTTTTATCTACTTCATTTTTTTAGGTACAAAAAATAGTTAATCACAGTGAAGAATAAATATTTGTAATTTAATTTAAATATGAAAATTGATAATTGTTTATAAATACTTGTTAGAATAGATTTTAATTTTAGGACTCTACATTCTACAACGATGCCTTAAAGTAAACAACAACAAATTGAACTGCCTTTCATGGACCCATCGCTTGAACTTGCAACCTCTAAAGGAAACATTAACATTAATGGTATAGATTTTAGATTATATTATACCATAAACAATCCTTCCTATTGATTTATAATTTATTATACTAAACCTGCTAAAAGAAATAGTT